GGGCGCTGGCAGGGCGCGAGGCGCCTCCGACGGCCGGCTCCTCAGGGCCGCCCGCCTCCCCTTCCTGGGCGCTTTCCCCTCACACCGCCTTCGAGCCTCTGCCACGTAGACGGGGGCCAGAGGCCGCCGCAGCCTGCCCGATAGGCGCCTGCCCTCTCCTCCGTGGCAACGGGACCGCTTTGAAGGTGTGCGGCGGCGTGCGGCTGCACAGGCGAACACCCGCCTTCGCCTTCTCCTCTGCGAGGCAGAGCTCGGTGTGGAGGTCTGTCCTCACCATCACCCGGGTTGAGGGGGTGGTTTGAAGGTGAGACAAGAGAGTTAGGGTTTCATTGACTTGAAAAAGAGTGAAATTCATCGTAAAACTGGCAAGTTACTTATTCTGCTACGGGCAGGGTGGCGAAAGGCGGGTGCCTACACAGTGTTGAGGGAGACCTTCGATTTTCAAGCTTAGTGTGCACATGATACTCATGGAAAAGATTATCTTCTGCAGGCTTATCATTAAATCTTTCCTATTTTGGCCAAGGTTGGGTTGGATTTCATTATCGTTAGATAATTCTAAATGAGCAACAGGGCTACTTACTGTATAATACTAAGTGTGTCCAAGTGCTGCCCTGGTTTGGTCTCCATTGCTGCATATCATAATTTTATACAGAATTGGGAACCTAATGCCTGTCTTTGGGTAGGATCGTTAGCTGCTTTGATATGTGATTTCTTTCATAAAAGGTAACCCAAAAGGTAAGTTTGCACCCAGTCATTAAGAAATTCATCTTTAGGTAGAGGGGATATCACCATGCTACTAACCTAAGACAAAAAGAGTCCCTTTTCTAGGTTAGAAGCAAAATAACTTTACATGAATGCTAATGGTTTGTGTGGATGTGTATCACAGTAAAATTTTGAAGTAAAAAATAATGAAATGGCAGAGAATAAATGTATTTAAGTAGATGGATGCCTTTTATTTCACTTACTGGTTCCACAGACTGGCTTCTGCTTATTTTCAAGAATTGTCTCAAATTGTCCCTGTCACAATAAATTCTAAAAAAAAAAAAATCGTATTCCTTGCTTATCATTCCATAATCCAACCTTTTTCAGTTTGCCAGAGCCAGTTTAATCAGGCTAATGGATAGCCATGCACAAGACAAGAATGCTGGCATTTGGCCATATTCAGTAACTTCTACAGATATATTTGACAAGTCATTGGATGACACCAGAAAAATTATAACAATGGAGCAATGCAATCCTATTACTTGCCTCCCTCATTTGTTGCAGAGTTGATAAACAGAAAAGGAGCATAGTTAGTGTGGTCCAAGAGTCTGTTAACTGTTTCAGTATAGATTATGTGGTGGGGACAGTATTTTTTCCATTTTTTCCAAATGAAAAGAGCAATTTGCCCATGCAGTTAAAAGTATTGAAAATAATTGCATCACTACTATTTCTTCTATGAGAGAGAAATACCTGAATACTCCAAGAGTAACTTGGAAGGTTACACTGCTTACCCTCTAGTACAGTAGTTGAGCTTTTCACCATATATTTGGATCACAGGAAATAGCAGTTGCCAAAGCAGCTGCAGGGTAACCAGGGAGAGACCAAAGGGTAGCCAGTAGCCATGTGGGGCTGCTCAGCAAAACTGACCTCAGACTGAAAGAGTCTGCTTCCTTCTGCACAGCTGACATAAGGCTAAGTGGCAGAAATTCAGAGACTTTGAGTAGCCTGTTTCTACGCTACTACGGGAAGACCCATCAGGGATACATTATTTCCACTAGGCATCTCTCGGGCACCTATATTTAGGAAATACATCATGAGGTTTATATGCTTCTCAGTATATTTTTTTTTGCAAATGATTTATTCTTTTGCTAGCTTCTTGTGCTTTTATGAATTTAAACAGAGGCATAGTACTGATCAGTTTGCAAAATTTGTCATGCATTTTATGGGCTTTCATAAATTTTAACCATTGTGTACATCAGCTTTTATTGCCTGGGCCTGTATGGCTCAGCTGGTTCATTGTTCATATACATGTCTTATTATTAATGTTACTGGGACTTTATGTATGTTAATGAATTTTACAGGCAAAAAAGTTGAAGTGTGAAAACAAGCAGAAAACAGATTCTTTCATTATAATTTCAGAAATTGTGAGTTAATATTCTTAAAGTACACCCAGTGCAGGCATCGCTAAAAATGCAATCCCTCAGTTGCTTGGCTTGGTGAAATTCTGAGTATAAACTCAAGCCACCTTATGGCATCTTGATGGTGGATCTGTGGTTCCGAGAAATACCTACTTAGCGGCCATGCTTGTGTGCTTGAACTATGCTATAGTTCTATAAATTGTATGTGTTCATTTATAGTAATGTTGTCAATATATTGGCCATACTTGAAGACTGACAATTTTCTATTACTCATCAAGAATCCATCCATTCCCTTAAAGAGAGTGAACACTAGATAAAGAATTTTACCACTCTTTTATCTGTCGCTTAGCTCCTCAAGCTGAAAGTAAACACATTTATTTCCTCTTAAAGTTTGGTGTCTTTGTGTTCAGACCTGACAATTAAATTTATGATGCTTTAGTTAGACTAGTCACTTCTTTTATTCTGAGTAAAGTTATTTTTGTGTAGGTTTCTGCTTTTTAAATAAGTGAATCCATAAATCCTTCAGGTATTTTGGCAAGGTTTTGTGATGAACCGGTCCATTACGAACTAAAGGGCTAGATTTGCAGTAGTGCTCAGCACTGCTGAAAATCAAGTCCTCGGGTTATTCCAGTGCTTTATCATTTATTTTCTCCTCTTTTTTTCTCCTGTACAGCCTCACCTCGTGCCTTCTGTTTCTTACTTGTCCTTCTTTGATTGCTATCAGATCTTGTTCCTATCCTTAGGCTCATTTGAGCTTTTGGTTTCAGAAACTTTTCTTCTATTCCAGATGCTCTGTTTTCATATTTGGTGGCCTTCCTATTTCTAAAGCCTTTCTTCCCTAAACCTTACTTGTTACTATGAATCATATATCCACAGATTTCTACTCTATTTAACATCAGTTACGGTGTGCTTCATTTTTTTTATACAAAAAGCAATCAGGTTTAGCCACAGGTATAATTGTGTCTGATCTCCTGAAGAACAGGAACATGAAGTCATAATACAACCACAGGTTATTTGAAGAATTGCACTCTTAAGGTTTGACAGAATCAGTTGATTAAAAAAAAAGCAAAAAAAAAAACCAGAGAGACATAATTATAGTCACTTTGAAGTTACATATTTTAATTGGAGGAACACAGGAAGGAAAGAGTACTAAATTTGGAGATGTTCCAGTTGGTCACAGATCAAGAAACTAAATTCATTGTGTATTGTCCTATATCATCAGGACACTTCTCTGTTAATCAGAACAATGTATAAACTGAGGATTTTCTATAGGACATAGCAGTTTTGGTAAAAAGGCATAGACTTTTAAAAATAATTCTTAGCAGAGAAAAGGAATTCTAGGAGAGCAAAATGTATTTAGAAACTTTGGGGAAAAAAAAGTAAAAATGGAAATGTAAACCCTGGCATACATGCAACAAATACACAGGGATTTTTGTGATTTTTTTGTGGTTTGTGATTTTTTTTTTTTAATGTCTTCTTGTTCCCATCTGTATGTCTGTTCCCTCTGTTGCAAGTCCTTCTATTCCTTTCTCTGCACTTAGCGGGGGGCAACAGCAGAACAGGATATATGTATGCACACCTCTGCCAAACCCATTTGGAGTAGTCTGTTTACATCTTCCTTAAAGTCTGACTTACATTTGGTTTTAACACTGTGAAATGGAGTGGCTGCATATTCTATTTTTGCATCCCTGGTCTAAGGGCAGTAAGGGAATTTAGAGGACTGAGGTGGATGCATAGGGGCAGTAACATTGCAATATAGCATCTTGTGATAAAACCTTCCATCTTGTGATAAAATCTTCCATTAAGTGTAAACATTGTAAATATCATAACAGTTCTCAAAAAAAAAGTTGAAGAATTTCAATATGTTACAGTTAGTTAAGTCAAATGTTATGTTTACAAAGAAAAAAATTTGAAAGAAAAAATACGGAAATAGACCAGATATTTTTTTAAAACTGCCACAAAAGTATGTGTAGCATCTAAGAGAACTATGGTGAAAGGAAAACAGCTACTGAAGTCTTAAATACTAACAAAGTAACACAAGGGCTATAATGAAGAAGAAATGAATAACAAATGGTACTGAAATATATGGTACAGGAATATTTTACTACTTCTCTCATTTGTATCTGTCAAAAGTGTGGGTTGATAAAGCTTCTTGTCTCCATACATCCATTAAAAGTAAACAATAATCTTAGCATTATAAATAATTATTTTATTTAAAAAATCCCAGCTTCAGTTGGAATGAGTTTATATAAAGGCATGTTATACAGCATAACCTGCTAGCAACCATATAAGCAAAAATTCTGTTAAATTGGCGTTCTAGAGATCTGGAAAAGAAAAAACTTGGTGGCAGTGGTTGTATGTTCTATTATTAAGGGAAGAACAGTTTTCTAGAGTTTATAATCTGCTCAGCAAGTTGAATAATATTCTATTAAGATAGAAAAACTTTTTTTTAGTTCACTTGCATTTATGTATATAACTTATGCGTATTCATTTATATTACAAATACAAATTGTGTCCTGGATTTTTACAGTGCTATTTGTAAACTTAAAGATATTAGCCCTAATGGACAGAAGTTCTGTAATATTGCACTTTTAGTGTACAGCTATATAGACTGCTGTAGCATTAAAGTAATTATAGCAAGTAAATCCTTACTTTAAAATAAAGGCTTTTATTTTAAAATTAAAATAAATACACTCTTTACACAAAGAGAGTGAATATGTACATTTGTGCTATTTAGCAAAAGTGAAATTACCAGTA